ATTTTAAACCTTTGTTTGTCACCTGTCATCCGCTTTGCAATGGAGGGAAGTCGAACCTTAATTTCGAACTCCTCCTATGTTCTTCTGATTAATTTCGTTGCGGGTCCAATGACAGTTTAACTTTCCCCCGGGACAAACTTGACCTTCATTGGTTGGGTTTTTGTGGCGGTCAAGCTGTAGATCCTGGCTACACAGGAGTTGCAGTGGTGGGAACGAGAGGTGGGAATAGTCCCGTAGTATTGTTTCATAATGGCCGTATCGATACGTCGATACTATTGATTCTATTGCACATACCGACTCTACCGAGAGCTACTATATTTTCGGGCAGCGCAGGCCCGGTCGTTCTGGAAATCCTTGGGGAAGGCCTTAGTCCAGCTGTGGACATCATATTACTGAAGAGTGCCTAGCGCCTAGCAAGTTGGTTGTTTGATCAATATGATAGGAAATGTTATAAGACAAAAAAGTATGTGTATTTTTATACATATATATTAAGTATGGTTAGGTATATATTATATAAATACATAGTTATCAACATATTGTAAGGTGTTGTATGTATTTTTTTGTGTAAAATAGTTTCATGTCTTGTACATTGAAGTAATATTACTACGTATAGAACAGACATCGCGAACAAAATATGTGCAGTGCGGGGTGCGGGGCGGGAATTTGACGGACAGCTGTCAGTCAAATCCATGACTATCAAGTTTCATAATTTTTGGCTGAAGTGAACGAACGATATTCGATAAGTAGTCTATCCATAATGTTCTTGAGTGGCGACTACGAGCCGGAAGACGTAGCGTGGGCCTAGGTGGACCGAAGATCTGGTGAAGGTCGCGTAAGGTGCCTGGATGCGGGCGGCGCAGAACCGGTCTTTGTGCAAATCCTTGGGGGAGGCCTTAGTCCAGCAGTGGACGTCTTTCGGCTGAAACGACGACTATCGACTATAAACTATCAATAAGCATCACTAACATGCATTCATTGCCGATTGCACTCGTATCGTGTCGAGTCGGGACTATCGAATGTTTACAGTCAACAGATCCACAGTGGCGCAATATGTTTGACGCACCTTTGAACTAGCTGCGAAACAATGCGGCTGATCGTACTGAAAGTTGGGCGCTGGTATTGCAACTTATGATTGCTTTTTGGTATTGTCTTAAAGTTTGGAACATTGAATTGTATGGATAATAAAATTAATTCATTACATCTCTTGTATACTCGTAGTTTCTTAATACAGTAATTTTGTGTTTCAGTTAAAAAATTGCTGGACTGTAAGGTGGGACGGCCACTAGTGTGGGATGCAACCTGCGTAGACACACTGGCACCGTCTCATCTTCCGCAAACCTCGTCTGGGGCTGGTACTGCCGCTGCATCAGCGGAATCCCTCAAGCGACGCAAATATGTAGGTCTTAGTAGTACCTACATGTTTGAGCCATTTGGGGTCGAGACGCTAGGTCCGTGGGGACCAAGTGCTCATCGCCTGTACAGGGAATTAGCCAAGCGGCTGATTGACTGTACAGGTGATAGAAGAGCTGGCGCATTTCTTGGCCAACGAATCAGTTTGGCCATTCAGCGCGGAAATGCAGCCAGCATTCTGGGCACCATGTCGCGTTGTTTGGACAGCGATTTGGGACATATTTTTTATTTGTAAATATTTGTAAATATTTAGTCTATGTAGGTTAATTATTTGTATTATTCTTAATCTCCTAATTCGACTGTAAAATATAATTTTATACCAATACAGACGAATAAAGAAGGCAGAATGTCTGTTTCCGTATTCATGTTCTTAGTAAGAAAGCACTTGCCTTATTTGTTCCTTCGATACTAACAAATATTCTGTAAAATCTACAATGTTGCCGTTGGATAAGATGCCAATACCAATCTTCATCAAAGAACAACGACACATCCAAACTTCGCTAGCTCAAAAACGTCAGCAAGTTCCGAAAACATCTCTTTCATCCCACAACACAAATGGCAACTAGGACAGAAGGAATTCCAGTTGAGTACCAAAATGCATCAGCGTATCTGAGAAGAGGCGCCCTACAAACTGCCGGTACCAACGGCGTACCATATCGCTGCAATCAAAGTAAGAGCTTTCAGCGGATTCAAAGTTGTGCCTTTGTTCCATCTAAGTAGTAACGGGGACAGTGTATCTACGAAAACGCCTCGTAACGGCTGAAAATGACTTTTAAATCTATCTAAGTCTATCGATGAGTTAGTCAAAGAAAAAAGTTTTTTGTGCTAAATTAAGGCTTCTCAAAGTTAAACTAATAATCGTGAAAATTAGAAAATGTTAAATTCAAATTGATTTAAAAGTTAAATAAAAAGATTTTATCATTATTGGTGAGAAAGGCGGCTGAGTATCGTTGTGTTGTTGTTTTAGTCAAAGAAAAAATATTTTAATGATGATTTAAGACTTTTCAAAGTCAAACCGAAATAAACTTAGTTTTTAATTTTAGGAATATAATACTTAGAAAACGAAGGTTTTCCAATTAATTAAAATCAGTAATTTCTCAGTCACTGGATCAGAATTATATTTCTAGTAAAATAGTAAGCTTTTTCAGAGTAGGCGTGAAAAAATATAAAAAAATAATGAATGTTGCAAAGTAACAAATAAAAGTTTTATTTGTTTTACTTTAATAACTGATTGCACCTTACTCTGGCTTAATAAAAGCCAGCCTCCCATGCCAAGCATGGGAGGGATTATTTCAACAATTTGTATTGACAGTTTTACAATTGCAAACTCGTCTCTTTCAGCTACAGTATGAAATAGGGCACATAGTATATTACATTTTTATTAAATACGGGTAACAATTTCATGTAGTGAAAATGTATCAGTGTTAAGAGCGCAAAATTAAATACATAAATAATGATTTATTAATTTTCATGATTTCGGTTATAAATATGTTCGTGTGCATCAGCTCAAAAAGACAGTCGAACCTAGAACTGTTGGGGTCCGCAAACCACCACCCCGGGTGACAAAAATTAATAATTAAGATTTATGTTGTTTTTCAGTTTCAGTCAGTCAAAATCTTAAATAACACATTTATTTTAACGAACTTATACCACTTACTCGTATCTGTAAAGTGGTAATCAAGTTACATAAGAAAGTAGATAAAAAAATGTATTTGTGCTAAATCACTTGTAAGTACTACGTATGTGCCTAATCAATGGTTTGGAACATAATGTATACGGTGTGAAACAATCAAAATTCTACTATCATTTACCAATGCTTAAATCTGACCTATTGACCCGTATTCAACAGTTAAAACAACGGTACCTACTACTGCATCTGCTGCAATGAAACAGATTGTAATAAAACTCCCCAATAATTTTGTTTCGTGGAGCACAAATTACAGAAAATTCTGCGTCGAATCGACGCGTCATGTGGCGGCGGTAATGAGCGCTGCAAATTGCGCGGCAACTGCAGCGATGAATGAATTGCACGACATTGTTTCAAAAAAAGAACGAATTCATGGTTTTGTCATTTAAAGTAACGATTTTCATTTGTTTTGTCCCCAGAAAATACAGATAATAACAAATGAAGATCGTTTACGTTTGAAATGAAAGTGCTTTCTTTTTTTATTGACGTACGTGTGGTTTTCACATTCAGCCAGTATCAAGTAATTTAGATGATGTAGTTAATTATGATATTAATTGGTCATTCATCACCAACCGATTCCCTTGAGTTACAATAAGATATTTTGGCACTTTACTGAGACTTTATTTACTGAAGGTCTCACTAATTATGCTACTTTGCTAGGTATCATTTATAGCAAGTTAGTATATTAATACCTAATACGTGTATGTTTACCACACCGTTAACCACAGTCCCCGGCAGAAACTACCCAACTCCACCAACTTTCGGATTCACTGCCAAACTTCATAACCAAGAGACATAAACCACAGATGCAGAAGTAAAAGAGCATTTGTAATAATACATTTAGATTTATCTTTACACCCAAGATGCGCTGCTTGAACAAGCGTATTTAAGGAATTGCCACACTGAATGTGTTCTGCGGTCAAGTCAAAGTGAACGCAGCCCGCATCATGACGTAATGAACAACATTATCGGATACTGTGTTATCGGTCTCTATACTTACATTTTGAATCTGGACGTGCTGGCACGCCCAAAGAACGCAAACCGCACTTTTGACAGATTTGTCACGACCGCTGACAGATTTCTTGCCCGGACTGTTCATACACGATGCGGGTTCTTTTTATGGTCAGTAAATTGCATACCCACCAGCTGCGGAGGCAGCTAGTGGGTTATGTGAGGCTCTCCCTACCAGAAGGGTAGGGCTAAAAAACCTGACTTTTCCGCCATGAGCCATATGGGAACGCGGGACATCGCCATTGGCTGTTGACTGCGTTCACTTTGACCTGACCGCAGACCGCATTCAGTGTGGCAAACCCTTTATTGTTTGGGCAATCAACTTGAAAGCTCTCGAGGAACTTTATGTTTGTTCGAGTTACACTGAACAAACACCGCCTTTTGTCTAAATAATGTCTGTGTGGAACTGTTGTGTGGTGAACACAGTTTAATTGTTATTGAGATCTCAAAGTTTTAGTTTAGATTTATGCAATTTTCACCTTTGGTTCTTTGGGATTAGGAATTTATTTAAGCGCATTGGATGTGCAGGTATTTTAGAAGGCAAGGTATCTCTGGATGGTTGCAGTTGCTTTTTGGTATTCATCGGGCATTTCCATGTTTCTTTTCATTAAACTTATTAAATTAAATGTGCCCGTTTTCTCAAATTCCACTCAACCAGCATCAAATCAGTCAAAGCATAGGTACATTGTCATTGCAAAACCACACTTATGTGAACTACATACCATGACCTACCTACATAAATACCATACCTTACCCACAGGTCGTGGGTTGTGTTCCCCTCAAACGTTTATGTAAACCTCTGTTTGTACCCGTCTGATTAATAGGAACATAATTTAAATGTGAAACCTTTTGTCTTTGGACAAATAAATAAATTTTATTTCTTTGTCCCCAGGTTGCAACAGAACGTACTATGGCGACATCGGCCGGACCTACGAGCTGGAACTCCACCGTCCCCGGGAAGACCTGGTCCCTTACGTCTGCCTCATAACCATCACAGCTGCTGGCGGTATCCATGGAGATTTGGTGCAGGTTAGTGAGATTTTTTTAAATTATGTTGAAATTAAACAAAATAATTATGCAGTATACCATTGCAGTCCATCGATATGGATCTGTGTGCTTACCATGATTTTACATTAGATGTCTGCGTAAAAAAATTACAATTTGTACAGCTCCTCTAGCGGCTACTTTAAAAAATAAAATCTTCATAGGTTGCACGCACCTAACGTCAACTCATGGTAAGCAACACCAGTAAAACCAGTGTCAGTGGACACTGGTTTCAGAATTGAAAAAGTTAATTATGAAATGTAAGTCAGATATTTCAGAGTTCATTGGCTGTTGAACAATTACGAACGAAAAAGGTGATCTTCTTTGACCTTCTTTTTATTAGGTGTTAATCGGATATTTACAACAGTATTTTTTCCAATACTTCGTCAGTAAAAAGATCTTTAGTATAAACTTTGGATATAAATCCAAAAAGGTAGAATCTACAAATCATTACGAAAGTTGCTAAGTATCCATAAAACACAGCAAAAATATGCGCACTCAGGCATAACTTATTCCCAATCCCAAACGTATGCTCGTGATATTTTATTTATACTGAGCAGTAAAGTAAGTCATACCTAGGGCATGTAATATCGGAAGGTTTTCAATTCCGATATTGGATTCCGATATTAGATCTCAATATCGGAATTCCGATATTAATATCGGAATTGAGTTCATGTACTATAAAATTAATATTTGATTATATTCGTAAGAATTCTGGATTGTTTACGATAAAATAATGATTTTAATCAAAATCTTTAATTTGGTACACAACAGAACTTCATAAAAAAGAAGTATTTTAAAACCATTTATACGTTATGGGTATCCATTGCATTTGGTTTTTTATGTGACAAGAGGCAAACGAGCAGACGGATCACCTGATAATGAATGGTTACTGATAAAGAGCCTATAAATGGACTAGCAAATAATTAAAGTGTTTTTGTAAAATCACAGGTATCAAACAAACTTTTACTCCTTCATTATATTACCCTGTTTTATGTTGGCGGAACGAATTTTAGAGTCATTCAAATCACGTGTTACAAAAATTGTAGAGAGAGGTAAAAAACTTGAATATGCTTGTAATTTGTTCCTTTTTGATTATCGATGTACAACTCACAAAACCACGAGCCATTATCATCCGATCAACACAGGCTCCGATGCTGATTTTCACAATGGCCGGTTGGTGGAGGCCTGCATCCAGCGCCTTCCTGCTACCTTTATGAGGTCGTCAGTCCACCATGTGGTTATGAGTCCTACGCTGCGCTTTCCGGTACGTGGCCTCCACTTCAGAACCTTGCTGCCTCATCGTCCGTCTGTTTTGCGTACTAAGACAGAACCGTTGGAAGACCTTATCACAATGCTCGAAGACCTTAATCGAGTTTCCCAACAGGTAGGCCTTCGGATGAATATGGAAAAAACGAAGCTTATGTCGAATGTCCATGTTGCTCCATAACCAGTTTCGGTTAGGAGCTCGATTCTCGAGATTGTTGACAAGTAAGTATGTCTATCTCGGACAAACGATCAGCTAGGTAGTTAGATGCAATTTCGAGACAGAGGTAAATCGTCGAATACGAAGATGAAAGTCTTCAATTAGTGTGTGTTACCAGTGATGATATACGGCTCGAAAACGTGGCCTTTCAATATAGGGCACAACGTGCTATGGAGAGGGATAAGCTTGGTGTTTCTTTACGAGATCTAATCAGAAATGAGGAGTTCCGTAAACTAACTAAGGTCGCTGACATAGCCCGACGGATTAGCAAGCTGAAGTGGCAATGGGCAGGGCACATAGTACGCAGAACTGACGGTCCATAGTCCAGTAAAATTAATGTTTGAAAGGGAGTTGAGATGTCGTTCTTTGTTGACCAAGTACCTATGGCAAATGCTAAAATTGATTTAGAACAAGTTAAATTAACCATAATATATAAATATTAAAATATTTGCAGTGGAACAAAAAGTGATGGTGAGAGACATGAGAAAATCACTGGTCTTTGCCAATCATGTACTTTGGGCTTTGTGTCAGGTTGTGGCGAGTTTAAACGCTTTGTTTAAAATCTCAATTAAAACGTTTATCTGATTCCGATATTACGATATTGGGTCGCTCAATATCGGAATTGAAATATCGGATCTCGCAGTCCGAGATTCCGATATTACGAGATTCCGAGATTCCGATATTCATGCCCTAGTCATACCCCCATCGTTCAAAGAAAACAAATAAATCTGTCGGCGAACAGATGCTCCGAGCCTTACTGCCACGCGCAGGGCTGTGGGAATTATACCGGGTGGGGTTGATACATTTCGCAAAGTTTTGAAGGGTACCGCGCCATTTTTGCTTTAACCGCTGCTGTGGTCTAGTGGTAAGACCAACTATCTCAGAGTCACAGATACCAGGTTCAATTTGTATCCCTCGATAATTTATCGGCATCATTCAATAAAAACAAATAAATCTGTCGGCGAACAGATGCTCTGCTCTTTACTGCCACGCGCAGGGCGGTGGGAATTATACCGGGTGGGGGTTATTTGATACATATCGCAAGGTTTTGGAGCGTTCCGCTTTAGCCTCACCTAAGTTGCTACTAAAACCATTTTTTGAAGGTAAAATAGAGTCAATTTGGTGACTACATAATGACATATCGCAGCATGGAGATTAAAATATCTTATCACACTACATGCACACATTAATACACTTGTTTGATACGAGACTTTGCCTAACTTAGGTAAGTATAATAAGTTTTGAAAAAACCTCGCTATATTCCTTAACTACTGTCCCAAAATCTACCTGCCTAAAAAGAGGAAAAGCAGTAATATAAAAAAATAAAAGAAAACAAACGATTTTACTTATTACTTCATCAGAACTTTTACGCCAAATTACCAAAATTATTCCATTCTCTAAGTAAAGGCTGGCCATTATTCAAAGAAAGCAAATAAATCCGTCGGCGGGCAGACGGCCTGCACTTTAGTGGCTCTTGTACGGCAGAAATATACCCGGGTATACCCATATATACTCGGGTATACTTATATATACCCGGGTATACTCGTATATTCCCGGTATGATAAATACCGTACGTGGGGTCGCCGCTTTCGCAATAACCATTTACTAGGTGAAACTATGCGTCTTGCATTTTACGACTCTTTATTATTTTATCCTTATTTTGTGATTTGCGCAATAAAAATCAGAAATATTTTTTTTCCATTATATTTAGTGACATATTACAGTTATATAAGTCACATATTTTGGTCACGTAGTACAAGTTGCGCTAAACCTTCTTTACCAAAGGAGCCACCATCTCTACCATCTACTTACCATCTAACTGGTAGTCGAACTATGAAAGAGATCTAACCTATGATCTCATAAAATGGCACAAAAAAGTGAGGAGACCTGACTTTTAAGTTGACAAAACTATCTGTCCTGAAGCTATGGTAGGGTTTTTGATTTTGAGCTCAAAATACAACTATTCCTACCGGTATTTACCAAGCACTGAAATAAAACTATTTCTACTGGTATTTACCAAGCACGTAGACCACCTTTTAGAAACCTTCCTTTCTACGCTGGCGATACTAGGCACACAGCCTCAGGCGCCTGCTCTAGCAACAGACAGGCGAGGCTCAACGCTCCGACGCGCCGCGCTTCCGCCACGAGACTTGCATGCCCCAAGGGCTGGACCCGTATTTATAGACCCATACATAAATGTAGTCCCTTTTATAGCACACCACAAAGCTACTATCCTTTTATGCAGGTGCTATAAATTGATTACACACCACACAAAACTGTCAATTTTGTCTAATACACAAGTTGGAACGGCAACATTAACAAGGTAACTTTATCACACACAATCAAGGCAATTACTGTAATGAAAATTACACGTAAGTAGTAAATATAATTTATGATTTTTAGTTAATGAAAGAGGTGATTTCAAATACAAGATCGTTTTATAAATGTGGTACAGAGGACGATATACAGTAGAGCGCGGATGCAAACACGCTTTTTGGGAGTGACGTGTGATCTTGGATGAATTAAAGTATATATCCCTTAGTATTTCAATATTAAAGTACTAAAATACGATCAAAAACAAACAAGTTATTAAATAAATACAAACTTCAGCGATTTACGAAGTATTCTAAAGTTGCTATCGTTTTAGAAATCGAGAATCGCTAAAACAGCCCTGTAAATGGTAAAAAGTTTTATAATTAACAAAGAAGTTAAAATTCCACATTGTTTCAAGTTCGCCGCGAAATGATTGATGAAAGGAAATGCCATTCTTGGTTAAAGTTTTCAGTTTTCAGCACCTTAATGTCAGAAATATAAATTGAATTAAAGTTCATTAAGAAAGCTATGAATATTTTACACATCAATCATAATATTTTATAATGAGGTTCGTTTCACTTGTTGATGAAGAAAATTTTTCAGGAAAATAAGAGCTAACGGAATCCAATAATCATAGTAATAGGTTATATAGGTGCGTATTGTAAAGCGATTTCAGGCTATTTAATTTTATATTTTTTCATAGTAAATCTTACACGGTGTAGCTTAAGTGTGATGGAGAGGTCAACAAGACCAATAGTTTTTATTTTGTGGGACTACATCCTACTGGATGTAATGTAGTAACGTAATTACGAATAGCGGTGCACATCTGCGGAAAATTATTGAGAGGCACGGAGTTACGTTCTCAGCTAGTATACCCAATTCGTTCGTTTCAGCCAAGTTCGTTTCGTTCAGCTGGAGAAAGGCCTCCCCCAAGAATTTCCATAACCAACGGTCCTGCGCTGCCCGCATCCAGGTTCTTCCAGTGACCTTTACCAGATCGTGGAACACCTAGTGGTGGACCTCATAAAAAGGCTCAAGGTCACTCACTCAGAGACTCGGATACAAAATTAATGACCCAGTACAACAGTAATAAATATATCCCTGATTCTGTAAATAACAAAACAGCATTACGATTGTTTACAAAACATCTATCCCATTTATAGCCCACATAATTCAAAGTATGCCC